CCAGTAGCTGTGGGAAGTAAAGCAGCACAGGGCCTAAAGGACCCTCAGGAAGTGCTTGGGGCATTTACAGGGTTGGAGTCGATTCTCCTGTCAAAGGAGAGGAGTGGGGAGAGCAGGAGCCTGAGGGTGAGCCTGCGTTAAAGAATGCTAGCGTTGAGTGGAAGTGGGGAGCAGGATGATGGAAAAAGCTACAAGGATCAAGTAAAAGTTATGTTTTTATACAATACAGAGAAGACAAACTTTGTTTAAAGAGAATAGTGTTTAACAGAAAAGGAGAGATTGAAACTTACGGAAGAAGCTTACAGAGAACGAGAGCATGTCATCCAAAGTCATATTTGCTTGGGAGTTTTTCAAAGATTATCTTAGTAAGATTCGATTTAATAAAACCTGGAATATGTTGAATTATTAATGAAAATGTTTCTAGGACAGCTTTAGAAACTAAAATGTCAATATAGCCATTCTCTTAAAGTTTTGGGGTTTTTTTAAGACTTAGTATTTTATATGTCAAAACCTCTGTTTTAGCAAATTTTGGCAATTTAAATTNCCTGTAAGAGGTCATTTTTTTCAAATCTGTCCTTATGAGCACCAGGTTTATAAACTAGATTTTATAAACCTGTCTAGTACGTTTTATAAACCTGTCTATGCATATTATGTATGAACTCATGAGAAATCATATTTTTAAGAAAGAAGAGTGAGTGTTTAGATTTTTAAAAATAATTCTCTTTAAAAGTGTTTTTCACAGATTCAACATGAAAAGAAACNACAGATTCAGCATGAAAAGAAACACATAAGGAAATGGGCTGAGTTAAAATCCCCCCTGCAGTCTTGCCTGCGTGAAGTATTAAAGAAGACAGGGGAACTGGAGAAAGAGCTCACTAGGTAAGGTTTTAATATTTCAGACCGTTTCCACCTTCAATTAAGATGTAACTGTCATTTACTTTATTAAAACCAAAATCCAAATTTATTTCCTATCTGTAATTTTCATAATTAAACAAATTATCCTATTTAAAAATTTACTTCAGAAACTCACAGCACTATCTGAAACTGCTTTGAGGCCCAAAATACTATACTTCTTTTTTCTTTAAATACATCTTTATTGATTTCAAAGAGAGGAAGGGAGAGGGAGAGAGAGAGATAGAAACATCAATGATGACAGAGTCATTGACCCGCTGCCTCCTGCACGCCCCTGACTGGGGATCAAGCNCCCTGCGCCCCTGACTGGGGATCGAGCCCGCAACCTGGGCATGTGCCCCGACTGGGAATCGAACCCCGATCTCCTGGATCCTAGGTCGATGCTCAACCACTGAGCCACGCCCAGCCGGGCTGTACTTACTCTTTAGTGATCCCTAAAACAATAATGAGGATGCATTTTGCATTTCCTGTCGACTGCACTTTTCATGTCTACCTTGAATTTTTACTTCTGCAAGATGTCTTTGCTCTCTGGTGACCTTTCCTACTTTCAGTAGTGAGTGTGCTTCCCTTCAGCATTCAAGTAGTTTAATATCTAAAAGCCTCCCTGTGTCATTGTTTAACAACATCAAAAATTCTCTTGATTTGGCTTATGTTTCTTTTTCCTTTGTTAGTTATAAAATATACCACACATACAAAANTTCCTTTGTTAGTTATAAAATATACCACACATACAAAAATGTCTGTATGACTTAAAGAAGTTGTAT